TATTGGAAGCAATAAAAAAATTTATATCTTAAAAATTTTAAAAAGTAGAGAGTTCGGATTAGCCAATATCCTTTTCTATTAGATTGTTTATGTCAATTTGGTACTATCATCTTATAGACGCTATATGGTAGTATCTTTTTATGCAAGAAGAAAAACATTAAATGTTTTGAAATGGAAGTACAGCCCTCGTATGTAAGTGCCTTATTGATATGTAAAAAAAAAAATACCTTGATTTTTTTTGTACATATCAATAAGGTACATACATATTTAAAAACCAAGACCCAAGTACCTGTGACAGAGAAAAGAAAGAAATTTAAAAAGCAATGGCGACCTTGTTGTTAAAGATAGTTTATCATTTACTTGTATTCCGTATTTATGACGGTTTATCTTTTGTAAAAGGTATGTATCGCACACGATTATTTCTGGGGGATTTTTTTTACGGACGGGTCCGCTCTTGGCAATCTTTTGTTTGGGTTTTGTTTTTACTTCCTTCTAGAATTATATAAATAGCAACTTTATATAGATTCAGACAAATATGAATTAAGGTCAGACGACACGTTCCTGAAACATATGTTTCATATTTCTTGGCATTATATAAAAATAATTCATAATAATCATTTTTGTGAATGCTTCATTGTTTTCAATATGTTTTATAAATAAAAGCACACCTAAAATTGCGATAAAGGTCATTTACAAATTCAAATAAGATTATTTAAGAAACTTCACATCTGGTAGCTTGTCCATATGCCTGGTAAAGTACCTTTATTTTTGTGAGGAAGCTTGTTTAAGTACCTATACTTTAATAAAAAAATTCTTACCAGGAAAAATTATATATTTTTGAGGAACGTGTCATATGACCTTAACCTTTATCGTCACTTGCATGGCGTGGAATGATCGTGCTGATCATCTTGCATTACCTTGTTTACATTTTATTGCAGCAACGAGTCTTTGTGTTTGTTTGTAAACTGCACTGTCCTGTGCAACTATTGTATTAAAGTTCTAGTTGTTTCTTTGGTATCTTACTGACTACCCTGTATTAGGAACACAAAGAAACCGAGTGTTATATATAGTATACATCCGTCCACACCGGTGAGGATTGATTACACTGAAAAGTGACTAAGTGATCGGCTTTATATATAGACCCTCAGATGTAGCGAGAAACCAATCGAAAATGGCGGTCAAACTTCTTTTAAGAAATCGTGTTCAGTCTAAGCAAGGTCACCGCAAAGCGGAGCATCCCCTCGCAAACATCATCTATGAATCAAAACAGTATTCGACATCGATCCTGATGCAAATTATTTCACTCCCGTTTCGTAGACAACGCTAAATTTCATGCAACATAAGTGACAAAAATATGCATTCACCAGATACCCATACTAGAGGGTATTGTCTTTTTTATATAAATAAATAAAACAAAATTTGAGAGAAAACACTGACGCCTAATGTCATGGCGAATGTTAAAGCTTTTAAAATGCAAGTCAAGCGATCAAAGAGAATGGTACCAAACGACAATACTTTTCACAAGGAAAATTCTTTTGAATTAAAAAAAAAAACCCTAGCTCAAATGTTATTACCAAGGTTAAAGTTTTCCTAAAGTGGGTTTAACTTATAGTCAAAGGATCAAAATTGTTGTTACCGAAAGATGGGTCTTGTCACAAGGAGTATATCACACAAAAGGGCGTAAAAAAGCTCAAGAACTAACCATTGAAAGTTATGGACAAGGTAAATGTTTTTCAAAAGTATGTTGAAACTCAAGGTCAAAGGGACAGAATTGTTGGTAACCAAGGCAAATTCCAATAATAGACATTGAAAATTGAAAGCCCTTGCAATAACTGTTTAGAAGTTACGGTCAAGATCAAAGTTTGGTAAACTTTTGCCAAAATACATATTGTAAGTCTAACTGTAAGATCAAGGCTAAGAAATCAAATATGTTGGTACTAAAAAAAACTTTTCCACAGGAATACAACTGTGGAGTATGAAAGCCAGAGCTCAAACATTTCTACTCTGAATTTTCTGGATTATAGCTTTAATATTTTTCATTAATGCAGAACAATTTGGTACCTTTTTAAGTATGAAGGATAAAGTTAACAATTGTGAAGGTACAAGGACATGTCAATCAAACGCATCTAGAAATTCGAAGTTTCAATAACTTCCAGAAAAATTAAGAGCTTTATTATATTTTCGTATGAAATTCTACAGTAACATATAAGTTATGAAATTGTAAAGAAAAAAGAGAGAAAATTAACATCAAATCTGTGTCTAAGCAAGTATGTGAATGAAAAACCTGTAATTCCGACAAAAAGTTATTCATTATCACACCGAGTTGAAATCGATTTCTTTCTAATCCGTAAACGAAAGGTATGGCATGCCAAATTCACAAAAAGGAGCTAAACATAGTTTCACAGTTGATAAAGTATGTTTATCGACTGTAAACTATGGTTTACAAACCGTGAACTATAGTTAACAATACGTTATCTATAGTTTTCATCTGTAAAACTATATTTAACGGTTGTTTACTATAGTTTACGAATGCTAATCTAAGTTTATATGTCTGTAATGAAAGTTAACAATAGATTTTGTTGATAATCATAGATTCACATCTGTAAACTATAATTTACAATCGTAAACTATAGATAAGAGTTGAAAACCATAGTTTAAAAATTACGAAACAATATTTATCAGATAATCTATGTTTTGCAACCGCAAATGCTTGTTTTCAGTGTTAAGTGTATTTACGGTTCTGAAACATAGATTATTGCCTTAACTGTGGTTTAAAGATGAAAAATATAGATGAAATTTGTTAACTATAGTTTACAGTCCGTAAACTATCGTTTACAACCGATAAACCTAGTTTATCGATTGTGAAACTATGTTAAGCTCATTTTTGTGAATTTGTCGTCTCATAGAAAGAAATCATACTTAACGAGTAATGTTTGGTGAGAATTGCTACACTATAAAGGCTGGTAATGTAAGGTTTGCTGCCATTCCTGTGTAAAGGATACTTTATTCTTTTACTGACTTCAACCACTTGATCAATAGAATACATTACTGTGAAATCACAAATTTTCGTGGGGTTTTAATTTTCGTTGTTTTCGAGGTATGAAGAAACCCATAAATTTATGTTCACCACGAAATGTAAAATGTTACATACATAACTACTCAGCAATTCTTCATCCACGAATTCAAATCTCCAACAATTTTAACTCAAACCAGGAAAATTTGACCCCACGAAAATATGTGATTTTATGGTATTTGTAGGGAAAATCTTGATATTATAAGGAAGCGTAATATTGATAACATTGTCATTTTTTTAGCATTAGCTAACAAGATGTAGAAAATAAATATAACAAAAAGAAAAGCCCCAGTCTAGACTTCCCAAAGCTTGATATTTTCAATCAACAGAATTAACTATAAGAGAATATAACAATGGAAGTATATGTATAATATTAATTTATTGATATATAAAACGGACATTTACTGGTTTACCATCTGTTATTTAACTAATTTTCAATCTTATTGCTTTATTATTGCTTATTACTAGTACCATAAATTATGTACATTCTGACAGGAGTACAGATTATATCAATACTACATGAATGCTGTATTCAATACATATTGCTAATTAAGTACATTTTTGTTCATTTTATTATTCAAAAAAACTACATGTATGTGTTTTTCTGATATATATATATAATTTAATTTTGTTTGTATTCTTGCCTCTCATTGGTTGATTTCCAAAAAGGAACGCATAACATTTTGTATAATCTGGTTTGGTATGGGGACACACCCCCTTGACAACCAGCTGAATCATCTGTATCCATCAATCCCCTCATTTCCAGTCCTTGGGATTCATGGAAAATTCCAGATTTAATGAATGTACCTTTATCTTCAAACAGTTGCTCGATCTTACCTCATGTAAACAAGCATCATGGCTGCTGGATCTATGTATCAGTTTTTACCTCCCCTCGCTTCCCATCACTTCCGTTACTACGGTTGTATTATTGCGCGGTAAATTTGAACTCATAAAAACAACACAATTTTACATCCCCAGTTGTTTAATTATTTTAAAATTAAATTATAAGGAATGACTCTAATTCTTGGCCAAATTATCAGGTATAATATGGTTTGGGTCAGTTTACGCATTTTTATAATCCGCTTCGCGGATTATAAAGCGTAAACTGACCCAAACCATATTATACTCGATAATTTGGCCAAGAATTAGAGTCATTCCTTAATATATATATATATATATATATATATATATATATATATATATATATATATATATATATATATATATATATATTTACAGCACAGAACCTACAAATGAAGGCCATAGCCCCATCCATTCGATAGTTATGGGCTAGGTTAAAGTTGTCAACAGAAAGACAGCTTAACGGCCTCAGGCAGTCAGTTTGGTTCTTGGGTCCACCAAAACGCATGTTGCCCTCGAACTCGGTCAATAAAAATATAATGTTTTCTAAATTACTAATATACATTTTCAACACAGAACCTACAAATTCAGGTCCAACCGTCAACTGTAATATTAGGACAAAATGATCTTGTTGTTACCTGTTCTACCATCAGCCCAACACAAATTGATACAGTATATACTATACAGCTACAAAAAAACTAGACTGGCTCAATACGGGATGTAGTTTCTGTTCGTTCAAGTAATGGTCAAGATATTATAAAATGGCAGGACACAGTATTTCAATCCAGGGCAACAGTAACAGCCTCTGTCAGCTCACCTGTCACTTCTTATCTAAAGTTAACAATTCCTAAGGACAGAGTGTTGTGTCCTGTTGATTTTACTGGATACAGGTGTATAATGAGTGTATTCACAACAGGTTTAGGAACTCAAGAATTAAATCAGGTGTATGTTACTTATACAGGTATGTAGCACACTTCCCAAATCCAGCATCGCATTTGTTTATTTAATCTAATATTCATAATTGTAAATTCTTGTTACATCTTGATGGATCTTTATTGTGATTAAGTATATCCAACAACGATTGAAATGCCAACTGTGAGGATACTTGGTGAATTTTCTGATGCACCATCAAGACAATTTCCTGTTGGAACAGCTGTAGAGCTGACATGTACAGGACAGATTAGTAGTGACCCAACTGCTGTAGGTACACTATCTTAAATAACAATATCATATCAGAAAACTTTCTGCATGTCAACATCTTAATTGAACTTTCATTATCTACTCTTCAGACATTTCGATGGTGCTATAAGAAGTCCCAAGCATTTAGCTTCACTGCGTTACCACAGATCCCTAATCATTCTGGGGTCACATTGTCTGGCTGTCAGTACACGCGTTCTAGTACCATCACTTATAACCTCACTAGTGATGACACCTACGCACAATTCTTGTGTGAGTCTGAATATTCTAGTCTCTGTGAAACAGGAACAGCCGAGCAATATCTGCATATATCTATAGGTGAGTTTTTATTTAAAATGATCTTTCCGCTTTATATCCCATTTACATACTTTGAAACCGAATCAGTAGCATGTAAGATCCGCTCGGTTGGCCAGAGAGGCTCGGATTCGGCCTGGTGTATTCCTATCGAGATGTCTCTGGTATATTTGAGTAAGGTTATCCCATTCCTAATGTAATGCTGCAGCAAGTATGTATATATTGGTAGGAGGCTGTTGACGATGACTAGTACACGTAGCCGCTGTCCAAATATGTCCAAAATATACTTGATGGAGGAAAGGTCCGGACTGAGTGCGGGCCATAGTAATAGTATTGTGGTGATATTCTCTCCTGTGAACTTGACTTCACCTTCCTAACTTTGGATTTCGCTTAGTTTTGGAGAAAATATTTAAGCTTTAACTTATGCATTGATACATTATTTGGTGAGAATTTATCATCTTATAACGCCTTTTTAAAGATACAATTCTCGTTACATTTCATACACTCATACAAATGTTCATGTTGCATTACTAATATACCCTCGGTGGGGCACTCATGTCTTATGGATATATTTCTAGTTTATACATAACCCCTCAGTAAAACATCAATTGGAAATGTTAGTCTTTTAGCAAATATTTCCGTAGAGACTATTTCTTAAGGAAGAATGCCACACCAACTTTTTATTTTATAGATCTCTGAGTCAACCTTTTTAAACAATGGTTTTACCATTGAAAGGCCGATATTAGCTCTTAATTATTTTGTATGATTTTTTTTTTTTTTTTTTTTTTTTTTTTTTTGTATTTTTTCAAAGAAAATGAAAAAAATATTTACATCCAAATTAGATGTTTCTTATAATAAATTTGCCACAAATGAATGCATCACATGAATACCTAATGAAATATGTACAGAAAAGTCGTATAGATATTAAAATTTGTTGAATAAAAAATATTTATGAAAATAAAACACATAATTTGTGAATATTTTTTAAACATGTGGTTAAAATCTTCTTAAAACCAGACAAGCAAGGGAGAACATGTTCGTTAATCATATTTATAAAAGAAATTGAAACGAAATGGCCAAATTTTAGAGAAATTAATTTTTTAATTTTGGCCAGTCCCGATCAAAATTAAACCGATCCCAACCATACTTGTACAATTATTGGAAATAAATAACATTTCCCGAAGAACACAAGTCTGATTAGGTGTTATAAGGGTTAGAACACCATTGAACTTGACAATCAAATAGATTTCTTCATTGTAAGTACATGAAAGAGGCTATAAATTAGTATTTTATCCATTTTGTGTTAATTTTGATCGGGATCGATTTAATTTTGATCGGGTTAGGTCCAAATATTAAAAAAAATAATTTCTCTAAAATTTCTCAATTTCATTTCAATTTCTTTTCAAAATTTGATTGAAAAACATGTTCCCCTCAGTTGTGACTAGTTCTATGGTGTTTTTATCCAAAGGTTTAAAAAATATTCACAAATAATGTGTTTTATTTTCATAAATAATATTTTATTTTAAAAAAATGAAAAAGTCTATCCAGCCTTTCTTTACGTATTTTATTAGAGATTCATATGATGCATTCATTTACAGCAAAATTTTAACTCGAAAACATCTTATTTGGATATATATAATTTTTTTTTCATTTTCTTAGAAAAATTTACAAAAAAATGATTTAAAATAATTGAAAGCTTCCATCAGCCTTTCAATGCTGAAACCATTGTTTAAAAAGGATGACTCAAAGATCTATAAAATAAAATATTGGTGTGGCATTCCACCTTAAATCAAGGCACTTGACGTTACTTATTTTCCTTTTGATAAAAAATATATCCCTTACTGTGAATTATCAAGCATAAGTATATTTCTTTCGTACGACTTATTATGTCGTACGTACGAGATACTAAGTCGTACGTACGACATAATTAGTTGTACGAACGAGATCCTAAGTCGTACGTTCGACTTAGTATCTCGTTCGTACGACTTAATATTATCTCGTTCGTACGACTTATCATGTCGTTCGTATGACTTATTATGTCGTACTTACGACATAGTATCTCGTTCGTACGACTTAGAAATCTCGTACGTACGACTTAGTATCTCGTACGTACGACTTAGTATCTCGTATGTACGACTTAGTATCTCGTACGTACGACTTACATTTTTTTTGCAAGTGGCAGCAATACGCTTCCGTAGAAACGTCATGTGCCTGTGAATTATTTGGTATGGGGTATATTTTTATTAAAAGAAAAATAAGTAACGTCAGTTGTCTGTGTTTTTAAGGTATAATAATAACAATGTTATTGTTCATTCCAGAGGGAAGTTTTATTTCATCTCACATATTACCACAGTGTGTGTCCACTAACGGTAGGAGACATATTTGGTCATAACCTGCCTGCTTGTCAATATTTCTATCTAACTATTCTCTCTTTAAATAACAACGGATTTCATAAAATGGCTGCCCAAGTTAAACGGTATAATCTGATTTGGGCAGTTTACACTTCAAGTAATCAAGCAGTTTTAAAGATCAGTAGTTTATTCAAACAATACAAATCAGGAATAGGGCAAATACGGACCTCTGAAATATCAGAGATGGGATCAGGTGCCATGGAGGAGTGAGCATCTCCTGTCTGTCAAAACTTTCGTGTGTCCCTTGTAATGATCAGAAACTAACGAAAAAAATCCGTCGAAAAATCAGTCTAACAATTAGAATGAAATTGGAATGAAAAACATCACTCTTTATTTGACGTAAGGATAGATTGTATTTGCTAACTATTGAGAATTGTTTCGACCATATAGAACATACAATATAAATCGTATTCAATTGATATCATATACCAGTAACTTTTTTTATCCAATCAAATATCGCGTAACAACCAAAATTAAATTAAATACATGTAAAATTTCTCTGTGTTGGCTAAAAATAATACAAATGATAAAAAAGACTTTTTTATTTCCTCTTAAAGCAACTGGTTCATTGAAAACGAGGTAAATTTAAAAATGTAGATGTGAAACACTGATGTCCTTGTATGGCAGCTTTTAGCGAGGGTTGAAGCTTCTAAAAATGCATGTCAAACTCTAAGTTAAATGTCAAAAGGTCAAATTTGTTGGTTTCCATTTAAGAAAGATATAGTCACAATGATACACATTTGAAGTATGAAGGCCCTATCACAAACTATTGAAAACTTATGACCAAGGTTAAAGTTTGGTAATTATTTTCAAAAGTTGGATCACAATCCAGGGTCAAGGCCAAATGTCAAATTTCGTGATACCCAGATAAAGGTCTTGTCACAAGGAATACACCTGTGAAATATAAAAACTATAGCCTCACCCAATCAAAAGATATGGGCAAGGTTAAAGTTTTTTCGGACTAAAAGACCAACAGTCAGACAAACAGACAGTCAGGACAAAAACTACATACCCCTAATAATTCATTTTAAGGCGCATAAAAAACTTGCGGGGCAAGATTAAGAGAAGGAGAAGTGGGTTGTTCTAGGACCAAGCACGTAGATTTCATGAAATTATGTAAATATAAGAAATAACTAGGCGATTATGCAAATTATGCATGTATAAAAAAAAATTGACATTTTCACGAATTGTGGTCATTGCCCTATATAATCTTATGGAATTCTATTATACGCGAGAATGACATTTTCGCGAGCAAACCGTCTCGCGTAATTACGCGAAAATAAAGTTCTCGCGAATAAAAAGTGATTTACAGCATACAAACACTAAAGAAAAGAATGTAAGCTTTTGCCAAAAAGTTGGAGAAACAAGAATATCAACAGTTCTAGTATACTTGTAAAGAAAAAAATGGAGAGGGCTACATTATTGCAGCTACCATAGCACTAGATCCCACCTCTGATACTTTAAAGGCGCGTGTTGCTCTGCGTTTAATTTGTATTGCAAGAATGGACTTGAGAGCTTTAACAGTCTTGGTTATCTCCAAATTTCATTTACTATATACTTTGATACAAATTAATACCCTACAGTTGTTTAAATTTCTTGAATAAAATTTCCTTCTCTCGAGAAATGAGTTAGTCAGTTCACCTTGAATTTCTTTTTTCATGTGGCTGATCCAAATTCTACATGTAAATTGTATTTTAAATACTATTATATGCCAGACTCATTAAAATTTTCAAAAATATATCTGAAGTTTGTTTATTTTATAAAAAACACTTCTATCATATTTGGATCCTTATTTGGGGTTTTTTCTGCATATGTGCAGGATTAATGATATATATTTTTCACTACAAGTTTTCAACCAAACCAAGTAAGTATTATTTTTGTATATTAGTAAATGATACGATTCTTTAAATCATTATTTACTTTTTTTTAATTGAATTATTTTCAAAATATTATTATTATATATATATATATATATATATATATATATATATATATATATATATATATATATATATATATATATATATATATATATATATATATATATATATATATATATATATATATATATATATATATATATATAAAGCACTAAAAAAACCAACAACACTGTATATCCTAAATGTCGGATCTATCAATATTATTTTTGTATATTAGTAAATGATACGATTCTTTAAATCATTATTAACCCTAACCCTAACCCAGGGTCGTTGGTCATTTTTAGTGCTTTTTATATATATATATATATATATATATATATATATATATATATATATATATATATATATATATATATAT